CTCTCTCTCTCTCTCTCTCTCTCTCTCTCTCTCTCTCTCAACCCCCCCTACCCTCATAGCTGGACCCCAAGCTGAGTTGACAGTGCACATGTAGCCTTTGCGCACTGACAAGGCCAAATTAAGATCACCACCAGACGCCATCGACCTAACCGAGAATTGCTGACAAGGGAGAATTGTACTAACCGAGCTTCATCCCTACTTTGATGACATAGCAATGACAGTGGAACCTCGAAACGCCTTTGAGGTTCATTCAGAATCCAATCAAAATTTGGGGGAAATTCACCAATACCAATTTGGAGTTATGTTATACAACAAAGAATACGAGTAAATTGCTGTTTTGTCTCTCTTGGGGAATTTTTGCTCTGTTGATCATGCTGTCCATGAGAGAGAAAAAAAAAATGAGTTCACCTTTTTACACCCAAATTTGAGGTGCCTCACTGGGCTCCTCTGAGAAGTGAGAAATTGATCAAGAATGAACTTTAACCATTCAAACAATATTTTTCTATTCAGGAATGCAAATTATTAACTGGAAAGAGTGGTTAGGTACCGCAAATATGCCGGTGGCTGTTTGACCCTGGAATTCTTTTCGATGGGAGAACATACTGAACAGGTCCGAACAAATAGGAGGTCAACAGAACTCTTGCTCATGCTATAAAGTGCTGAAAAACATGAGAGCCGAGGCTACAGAATTCATACTGTTGGCCGACAAGGCAAGGGTTCCAATTAAATGTAACGATATTGACACGCCATGTTGACAAGGGAGGAGCGGGCACTGAGCTAGCATGTGTTGCTGACGAGACACTGGATGCTGTGACAAGCTGTTTGCTATTCCCCGGCCACGGCAGCATGGCCGGGGTCACATTGACAAATCCAGTTTGGAGAAACCTCAGCCTATCTTTCCAGCAAACATTGGTAGTGCTTGAATGTGTGTATCCATTGATGGGGATTAGCGGGCTTGTGTGAGGTTGCCTCACTGGGCTGGCCCCGGTTGCTGTTGGAGATCGGGATGCGTTTAATGTCAGCGATTGTGTGCTTGTTCGTTTGCAAGGCTGACAGGGGTAAAGCAGAGATTGCAATGACAAAGGAAAGGAATTTGAATGAGGGAAAAAAAGAGGATCGGGTACGTTTGCTTGGAGGATGGAAGAGGCTTTGGCACCATTGTTATTCGTCTTCTTTGTCATTCTGCCTACCCTTATCTCTCTATTTCAAATCTAGCGCTTACTCTTGACTCCAGCTTTGCTCACCCAATGTCTGTTCCCTTTAATTTATCTCATTAATCTCATTACGTCTATTGTTTTGATGTTAAGAAAAAAAAAAATCACAATTCTTGCTCATTCTAATCTGATCCGAATGCACTTCTCTGATTTATTTATTTTTTTTAAATCTTGATGCAAACTTTAACTTTGTAAATCTGAATCTTGCATACATCATGCGGGTACAGTAATGGAGTGATTTGCAAACAGTTTGCAGCGGCACATTAGTGTGCCATCAGAGGGTGTGCCGGTAGAATTGATCCAATATCACTGATTTGAATGAAAAATGATTTATTTACTTAAAAAAAAAATTGCCAAGGATGTCGTGTCACAATCAGAACGATGAAATGTTCTTCTAATAGATGACAGAAATACATAACCTATGTATCCACTTTTTGTGATTTTTTTTTCATTCATATGTTCATTCATTCATTTTCCGATCCGCTTATCCTCACAAAGGTCAGGGGAGGGTGCTGGAGCCTATCCCAGCTGTCTTCGGGCATTAGGCGGGGGACACCCAGAACCGGTTGCCAGCCAATTGCAGGGCACACAGAGACAAACAACCATCCGCGCTCACACTTACACCTAGGGACAATTTAGAGTGTTCAATCAGTCTGCCATGCATGTTTTTGGAATGTGGGAGGAAACCGGAGTACCCGGACAAAACCCACGCAGGCCTGGGGAGAACATGCAAATTCCACACAGGGAGGCCGGAGCTGGAATTAAACTCCGCACTGTGAAGTCGACGCGCTAATCACTGGACCACCGGGTCACCTCCTTCATATGTTTACATAATATATTCCTGCATTTATGTGTTATGTTAAATGAATTTAGTTT